TGAAGCATTCAGACCGTTGTATCTTAAATGGAAAAAAGAATGTATATCCAGTGAGTAATAAAGAGTTCAAATAAGTGTTCTGCTTGAAGACAAAGCAAATCTTGCTACAACTATCACATAGTTAAAGGAAGAAGTTGAACACCTGAAATCCAAACTTGAAGATATGACCAAATGAACTTGTCTGTTAAATTGTGGTTCTAAAACTCTTGATGAAATTTTAGGGGTTGGAAAGAATGCTAGAGACATGAAAGGAATTGATTTTAACTATAGCTCTATGAACACTAAACCCATGTTTGTTCCTCTTGTAAAAAATATTGATTTCAATATGTCAAACCACCTAACACAACATCTTGTTCGACATCATTACCAATACGCTAATGCATAGTGCAAAAGCTCTTGGGTGAGTCATTATTGTGGCCAACGAGGTCATATAAGACTTTTTTTTCTACAAATTGTATGGTAGGCATTACTACCACTATTGACACCACTCCTCCAGTAACACCTCAAAAATTGGTTGTCAAAAAGTTTAGAATATCCAAGAAGCAAATAAAAGTCATATTGCTCACAAATGTCTAACAGCTTCATCTAAAAAAGATTGGTATTTTAACAGCAGTTGCTCCACACATATGACTAGGGATACAAACTATTTAAAAGAGTTAAACCTTATTCAAATATCTATGTTACTTGTGGTGATGGTGCTAAAGGAAAAAACATTTGGTTTAAATATTGTTAGCAAAGGAGGAAAAAATTGTTTCCTCATGGGCTTCTTTGCCATTTGATCCTCCGTTAACGTAGGGGATTTTTCGTTATTACTAGACTCGGGAACCTTCATAGTCGCCTTTTTTTTTCTTTGGAATCTTTTCCATTGAGTTTTAGTCACTAGCTTTTTTGACACTTGAGAATTGTCTTGATAGGAAGTACTTGTGCCAACTTTGACTATCCTCCACTTCTGTTGATCAGAGTTTGATCTGACTGGTGGCCAAATCCATTCACTAGAGGGAGCAACAACAGATGGAACATAAGTCTTCCTTTGACTTCTCAACTTGGTTGTAGGCTCCACGTTTTTTTTGTATAGGGGACTCCTCTCTTGTCTAAAGAAAATTGTGGCATTTATCACTCCAATTGTTCCTTTTTTGTTGTTTAGGCCTTACTTTTTTGAGGTCTTTGGTGGCCTTCTTATCAAACACAACACAACAACGAGGTCATAACATCACCTCAAACCCCTTTGAGTTTGCACCAATTTAAGAAATAAATTAGTTCTTCCTCAACCATTGGATAGACCACTTCCATCTTCTCAATATAATATAACAATATCACCCCTTTGCTTTCTATGTTGAGACCTTCAATAGCTTCAACCATCATAATTTTTACGGGTTCAACTAGATTTTCTTCTTGAACCAACAAAGGGTCTGAGTCAATTGTCATTGGTAGTTTTTGTTTGTCACCAAATTCTAACCTACTAAACACCTGAAAAGAACACATTGAGATGTTTTATGACCAAGAAAATTATGATATTTATAAAAAACCCTTTCATTCTTTGTTCCAATGGTGGTGTTTTTATACTTTTCGGCACTATGATTTAACCATCGGAAACTAAAAGGTCAAAAATCTCATCACATTTGGTTATATCATAGGTATAGGTTTTTGTAGAAAAATTTCAATTTTACTTTGTTCGACAAGATTTTTTCCCATTTTAAAATCTTAGAACCTCAAAAGCATATAGAGGTCTTAGCTTTAATTCTTCCAAATTAACCCCACTTTTTCGACACATTCAAAAACTATGTCAATCTCTTGACTGTTTTCACATTGAGATGTTTTATGACCAAGAAAGTTATGATATTTACAAAAACCTCTTTCATTCTTTGTTCCAATGGTGGTGTTGTTATGCTTTTCGACACTATGATTTGACAATCGACAACTAAAAGGTCAAAAATCTCATCACATTTGGTTATATAAAAGGTATAGGTTTTTGTAGAAAATTTTCATTTTTACTTTGTTCGACATGATTTTTTCCTATTTTAAGATCTTAGAACCTTGAAAACATATGGAGGTCTTGGCTTTAATTCTTCTAAATTAACCCCACTTTCTTCCACATATTAAAAAACTATGTTAATCTCTTGACTGTTTTCATATGTTTCGACATAAGAAACTTTCTCTTTTGTAGGGTGTCAATTTTCTCTAGCCTTTTTAACCTTCAATTGTTCAACTTGTCGAACCATGTCTGCTAATTGGGACATGTTTCTTAGGTACTAGGCATCTAACTTTTTCCTAACGGAATAATCTAGGCCACCTGCAGTGATTTCAACTAACTCATGCTCAGGCATTTGAGTAAAACATCTTGTGTTCATTAACCTAAATCTATTGAGATAGCCATCGATCGACTTGAAGAATTTTTTTATTACATTAGCTAATTTTCAACTGACCCATATAAAATTGCTCACGAAATACTCTTTCTAGTTGATTCCTATTGTATGTGGAGTGTGGAGGAAGGGCGGTGAACCATGTGAAAGTGCTTTTAGTTAAAGAGTTTGGGAAATATTTTATTTTTAAGTTCTCACTATTGGCTAAATCGCGTACCTCTGTTCGATATCAAGAAATATGCTCGATAGTGGATTCATTAATATCACTTGTAAATTGAGTGAACTTAGGTATTTTCGAACCCCTAGGGAGTTCAGTCTTCAATACATACTCAGACAAAGTGGAAAAAAATTGGTCTATGAAGAACAATGTTAAGACCATTTTGGGTTAAGATTTGTTCGACCACATTGGCGATGTTAATTTCCCCCCCAAAATTATGATGCTGGACTCCTCTAACCACTTGGTCTGCATCCTAGTTTCTATTGACCAAAACTACCTCCGGGCCATTTCAACCTACACCCCCTTCGATTACCCTAGGTATGGGATGTTCAACCGATTGGGGCACAACCCTTTGTTGTATTTAATTATTAAGAAAACCTTCATTGTTTACAACTCCTGGATTTTGAATTTCCCTTACTGCTTGAATTTAAGGGTCTGGTCGAATAGGCGTTTGGGCAACACCAAATAAATTAGCAATTCGACCCATTTGATGCACCAGTTGTTGGTAAGTATGACTGTGTTTTGATTAGAGGGTTAAACACAATACTAATTTGTTAAGTAAACATATTGACCATATCATGGTTGCTAACATCTATTTGTTGCCTCATACCCAAGAGGGAAATAATGGTTAATAGTGGCATAACCTGAGGTACATATCCTAATTTTCCTTGGGGTTGTGTCATTCGACTAGGATTGCTGATAGCATATTTTGATGCTAAGTATTGATTAAGAGGGAATGCAATAGTCATAGCATTATATGCATATGTAGATGCACTGGTTTATTAGCCTGTCATCATTGTAGTTGGCATGCCATATAAGTATTGCAGACTACCATGGACAGCGTAAAACTTGATAGAAAAGAAGGCTCAGGGTCTCATATAGTAGTTTGTGTAACCCTGGGAGTAGTTGGAAAACTGGTTGATTGTGGTGGTGGAACCACCACTTATGGTAATGTCTTCAAAACTGACATTTGACTTAGAACATGAGCGGTTACTCCAACAGACGTTGAAGTTCGTACACCACCAATCGTCAAGTTGATTAGTTGTTCTTACAAATATGGAGCATTATTTTATGGAAGGGAAGAGGTATTGGATGTTGGATGAGTCATCTCAATAAGAGTTTTACCACTCAAACGTATGAACGCCCAGACGTGGAAAACATTGCATATATGAAGAACAAATAGTAAAAATCCACAATTTTTTTTGCAAAAGTTTCAATTTCTTGCACAAAAGGGCCCCACTTGACGTGCCAATTTGTTTTTGGTAAACAATCACATATTTTAATTCACTTACATGATTAAACTCGAAAAAAATCCTAGGACACATAGTACAAAAAAGTTTAAGAAAAATGTATTCATGCTTGAAAATTAAACGTTTGAATGTGGGGTAATTGGATAGAAACTTCAAGAATAAAGTGCAGAATTGTTTGAATAATAAAGCAAAATGAGACAAAATGATAAAATTAATCGAATAAAATGCTTAAGTTAGAAAGTGACACATATTAATACATTTTCTCACAAATTCAAGAAAAATGTGAACCCTTGTTACATAGTTTAAATTAACTTATATACTTGAAAATCAGTAACCGTCAACAACGGTCAAATCTCCAGTATTCGACATGTACCATGCTACGTGGCCTTCTGTTCTCTGCATTGCTTCCACGTGTCTTCAGTCTTTAAACTACTGCTAAACTACTATTGTTATCCAAAGAATATCTCCAGGTTTTTGCATTTGTCGAATTTCATGTCCCCCAACTGCTTTTGTTGATAATCCTTTCTGTCAAACTTTGTAATCTTGGTGTCAAACCATACTTCAATAACTTGTGCTTAACCTGTGTATTTATCTCACGTCCTTTTCCTAACGAAAATGCCAAATCACTAAAATTCATTTTAAGATTCTATATACACATTTTGAAGAAAGAGAGATTATAATCTTATGGATCTGTCGTTGAAAATCTTCCAAATTAAATTTAGTGAGTTTTGGTTCGGCTCGAGTCAAAAATCATAAATTAACAAAGGGAATCTAAACTTTTTTTTATAAGAGATTTTTCAAATAAGACAAATATGACAAGAGTTTAACAATGTGAAACTTAAAGAGCTTTTTGAAATTCATCTTTGTTAGAATATTGAAATGTTCACACGTTTTCCAACTTTCCGTGTAAAGGTCATTGGTGTAAAAAGACATGCCTAAACCTGATACAGCAAAGCATGTGCTGCTGTAGCGTAACAAGAGCTATCAGACATGGTGAAATTTCACAAATATGAGATACATAGAACACACAAAGTTGCAAATTGCAAGCACTATTGGAAGCAAGATATCTGATATATTAGATATCAAATATTTGATACAAGTAGTGATAGATAGAGTTGCTTGCTTTATTCTCAGATACTTTTCCAAAATCCAAACTACAATACTCATAATTCATCAATGAAAACTCTTGACTAAATCGAACACTTTTTCAGACATGGTAGGAACACCCATGAAAATACCATGTCTACCCCCACTATAAAATTGTCCAACCACATTGACATTTTTACCCTCAAGCAACTTCACTAACTCCCTCTGACGGTCCACAAGTTGATCCCCATCACACCCAAAAACCGCAACCTTCCAACCAAACAACCTAATCTTCTCCAAAACCTTATCACCGCCATTCACCATTGGATTAGAATACACGTAATCACGATCAACGCCTACAGGTAACGATAATTCCCACAACGCATCAGTAAAAATCAAAGGTAGATTCTTATCCTTCTCAAGCCTTATCTCAGATGGAGTCCTCTTGGTCCCACCGAAAAACGGTTGAACCAATATCAACCCTTTGATGGTAATCGGTTTAATGTCATCAACTATCGCAGCCGCACGTAGACCCGCGGTGTAGGCGATATTACCTCCAGCACTCTCTCCCATGAGATAACATCGTGAGTAGTCAGCGTGATGTGTCAACCATGCGTCGTTTGAGTTTTTAATCCAGTGAAGAATTTCCACGCTGTCGTCGTACGCCGCGGGAAGACGGTGTTCCGGTGCGAGGCGGTATTCGAGTGAAACGACGACGGATTGGGTCTTGTTGGCGAGGTTGGCGCAGAAATCGTGGACGTAAGTTGAAGCGGCGCTGTAGAAAATGAAGCCGCCGCCGTGGTAGAAGATAATGAGCGGTAGTTTCTTGGAGTGGGGTTTGTGGGGAAGGTAGATTCGAGCCCAAGTGTGTTTTGATTGGTTGATGGTGAGGTCTTTGGAGAGTGCTGGTGTGGGGAGATTTGGATCCGGTGAGGGTGGGGATTGTGGGATTTTTTCTAAGCGTGTGACGGTGCCGTCTGGGTTGAGGATTAAGTTGAGTACTTTGTATGGATCCATGGATGAGTTAGCGTTAACAAGGAAGAGAAGGAGATGCAAGGAGAGTAGAGTTGTGGCAGCAATGTATGGTGACACAGACATGGCTATAGATCTGTTGTGGCACACTGGCTTGGAAACCGCAGGTACAAAGCTAAGTGAAGCTTTTGAACTTTTTAAAGAATATTGATCATGTGATATGTTGTACGAAATGGTTAGTTTGAAGTGAGTTTATAATTATTTTTCAGCGAGGTTAATATATACAAATGTAGAAACTCGTTATCATTTCTCTAATTTGTTATTTCTTCTATTCTTCTCTTTCTTTTGAATAATTTGTTTTCCTTTTTAATCAATATAAACAAATGAAGAAAATCGTTAGCACTTCTCTAATTTGTTATTTCTTCTATTTTTGTCATTTTTTCAATAATTTTTTTAATCATTGCTTGCAAAGTTTAAAATAATATTAAATGTATTTTTGTCAAAATTGTCTTTAAATAATTATTACAGACAAAAAAATATAAATAATAAAAAATATTATAAATAAAAGAATAATTATTGTATGAAAAATAATAATATTATATTTAAAAAATAAAAAAATAAATATTTATAAAAGAAACCTAGGTAGGAGTTTAAAAAAGGTGTGTGGTTCAAAGACAATTTACTACAGCTAGCAGGTAACTAGAGGACAAAATGTTAGTGATGGTGTGTGGTTAAAAAAGGGTGGAAATTGGAATCTAATTTGAAGTTGAAAATAGGGGTCGCACCATCCTAGTTAGGCTCGTCCCACAAAATCTTGAAAAAAACAAAGCGGGGTGAAATTTAGGTTTATTTCCAAAAAAAGTGTGAGTGATTTACAAAATCTTGAAAAAAATAAAGTGGGGCGAGACTATTATAATTGAGGATGATGGCCTAAAATTTAAGTTTATTTAAAAGAAAAAAGTGAGAGTGAGTTAGATAAAATCTTTGGGTAGTACACATTTAATTCTAAAACACATTTATTGAAAAAATTGGTGTGTTTCCTTTAATTGATAAAGTGCCAACAAGAAAGTCAAGTGTCAATCGAATATTAGAAACACTTGAAATAAAATCAATTATTTATATCACTAAAGAGGTCAATTGAATATTTTTAATAAATAAGATATTATCAGTAATCAAAGAAAAATGATCACGAGAGCATGCATGTATGCATGTGAGACAATTTTTATTCAGCAAAATAATGCATTGTGTCACATTTCTTTAGATGATGAAGAATTTCTTGTAACAGTTTTTGAAGGAGGTTTCGACATTCGTTTGACATGTCAATTGTCTAATTCTCCCAATTTAAATGTTTTGGATTTAAATTTTTTTTAGTGTCATACAATCATTACAACAGAAGAAAGTGGCTAATTCAGTTGGAGAGCTTATTCAAGTTGTAGAAAATATTTATGAGTCTTTTGATATCAGAAATTCAAACAAGATTTTTCTTATATTTTAATCATGTATAGTTGAAATTATGAAGAAGAAAGAATCCAATGATTATACCTACCGAGTTGTTTTTTTTAAAGGCCGAATTGCATTTACTATAATAGAGTGCAAGCGGAGAAGCAAACACACGTTACTACACCAACACCAGCAGATGCAGCTGATAGTTCATTCTAAGACATACCAAGTTTTGTAAAATTGAAAATCCGTCAATTCTTATTGCAAATAACTCGAGGGAGATACCGGCTAAAGATACACAAATACACTAATATAATTATGTTTGGACACAAAAGAAAGTAAAAGGAAAGAAAAGAATGAGAGTAGAAAGTGAATGATTGTTTAGTTGTTTGGTATAAGAGAAAGTGAAGGGAAAGAAAATTAGAAAATGAGGAAAAAAAATGTATCTTTAGATAATAACAAAATAATCCAAATAATCGTATTGATTTTCTATTAAATTATTTATTAATTAAATTAAATTTTATGTTAACCTCTTTATATATTATTTACATAAAATTGAAATTTTCAATATTAAAAAAAACTCCATTAATTTTGTGATATAAAATAGAGGCTAATAACATTTATAACAAAACATTGGAATACATAATTAAAATTTTTTTCTTTACATGAAAAACAAATTCAGAAAATATATATATATATATATATATATATATATATATATATATATATATATATATATATATATATATATATATATATATATATATGATAGTTGATAGTTAGTAGCTGATAGTTGATAGTTTATAGATTATAACTAATGATTGATAGCTGATAAATTAATTTGATTGTTTGATAAATTAGTTATTATATTAGATGATAATTATAAAATGATCTAAAAGGACATTTTTAATTAAGAAGTTGGTGATTTTATTATTTTATTATATTATATTATTAAATTAATTTTTATTTGATAAAAGTAAATGTATTAATAACAACATGTAAAACAATTTTAATATATATGAAAAATTAAAGATATCATCAAAATATATAAATTTGTATATAAGTTTATGAATTTTACTATTTAGTATGAATATATTGACAACGAAATTCAATAAATAAAAAAATCAGCAAACCAAACATGAAGTAAGGGTATCTCATAAAACCATTTATGAGGACATAAATATAAAAGTAAATCTAATAACTACAATTCTTAGTCTGGTGAACTCATTCTTTCGTGAAAAATAATTATTTTTTAAAATTTATAATGAAATTTAATAAAATATGTGAAATAATAACATTAAAACAATCACAAACTAATATGAGCAAACAAATCTGATAATAATAAAAAAGCAAACCAAAACAAAGTTGATCAACATATGCTTAACACATCCATGTTAGTCCCTTAAAAAAGGCATACATATTTGCATAAATCAAACAGAATATCCTTGCTTAACACAGAAGAAGACAACAAAACCTTATGCTACCATATGCAACAACCAAAAGCAGCCTAAAGCCTTGCCTTATTGACAGTCAAAGTGAGTTAACAAACTCAAATTAAAAAAACAACTTTTGACAGAACCAAAGTAGTTTTCTAAACATAATAATGTTGATGCTTTTAACAGGTTTGTCATGATAAATCAACACACTTGCCCAAATGAGAGGTTGCAACCTCAAAACAGTTTAAGACAGCATAGATACAACCATAACTATGTTGATCATCAACACCTCATATGAATCATCTCAACATTGGACATAACCATCAAACAAACAGAAGCCCTAACTCTAAAGGCAGTCATCAACTTAATGCAAGCAATAGATATTTGGACGAGCAAATCTTAAAAACAGATTTAAACAGAAAAGTTGCAGACTCAACATTCAAACTCAAAGTAGGATATCATGAGTTGGCAACATTCAAACTTATCCAACAAACTGTTCCATTTATACATGATAGACAATTGCTACTAAACAAAAAAGTTAGTTATAATTCAAAATTTAATCTGAGCCGTCATTTTCATCCACAACTAAAATTAAATATTCTCATTCTCAGTACAAAAATTCCTACAATAGAGAGCATCAAACACAATAAAAACAACAAATTGCTTGATATAAATGACCTATGCAAAAATCTTCCTAGTTATAAAAAAAATGGGATTGTTAAATTAGTGACTTCAGTTTTAAGGTGACTGTGTGATTGTAGATAATTGCATATGTTTATGTTTATGTGCTTGTTCTGCTTTTCTATATCAGTAGTAAGGTGTCTATAACATATTATAACTGCTTCGAGACACATGCCAAGTATCATAATAAAAGTTCATAACGGATTTAGTTAAACTTGATAATAGAGTCATAGGAACAACATAATTTACAAAAAAGTTAATCAACATAAGCTTAACATATTCAAAAAAGGACTAAGACATGTTGAGCACTGTTTGTTGTCAACAACATTAGGTTAAAAAAATCATATTCAAATGAACAACAGTAGCAAGAGAAGGAACTTGTAACAACATAGCAACACTTGATTGTACCAAAATAACTTGAGTTGAAAGTAAAGGCTTATTCCTTCTTGGCATGCTTCACAGTCTTGGTTGTAGATTGTTTGGGTGATAATATAGTTGAAGTTCCTAGCTCCTCAATAGAATATTCTTGGGACAACCTCTTGGAAGGGGTATTACTTGAATAGACTTCTTCGCTCTAATTTTGTGAAGCAGACATGGTTGGCTGGAAGTTGGAAATGGAAGCTATGAGTTCTTAGTGCAATAAAATTTTTAAGATAATAATAAATTAAGACAAATATAACTTGGAAACAAACTTACTGTATGAAGGGAAGTAGGAGTCACCGCTTCATTGTCGAGTATATGATGGTTAAGAACAAATTCTTTTCCTTTTGTAGTCGGGGCATTCATGGTGTTTTTAGAAGTCAACTACATGAGAATATATTCTATGGTCAGTATGTTAGTGTTAGACATGAAGAATGTAATTAAATTTTGGTGACTCAATGCATCATAAACCTCATTTGGATGAATGACATCTTTGAACATTTGGATTACTTCTTTGTCCTCAGTAAGCTTGACAACAGATGCCTGCTTAAAGTTTGGCTGAAACTTCACGCGAAAAGCAAATTCCTTTTCTAATAGTTCATCCAAGTTTTTAGGATAGATTTGTGGATGATCTTCATTGGACTACGAATGTATAAAAGGTAAACATTAATGATTTACATAACTGTTTTTCAAAAGAAATGAAATAGCAGCATGACATAATCTGTACCAAGTATATGAGGTAGGAGCATTAATTTGTACACTCAATTATAATGACACCAATCAGCAGAGTGCAATCTGTTGAATGAAACTCATTCAAATCAGGTCAACTATGCCCAAGGGAACCCATTTACAAACACCTATAGCCCTGGATGGAGGAATCATCCAAACTTTTCCTACAAAAACAATAACCCTATTCAAAACCTTGTGCCTCCGAGACCACCCGGTTTTCAATCCCAGAGATAAAACCCACCTATCCAAGCTATGCCGCCCAAGCCGAACCTTGAGAAGATCATGGAAAATTTCATTTCGGCTCAAACCCGGCAAAACAAAGAATTCCTAAACCAGAACATTCATGTAAACAAAATGATTACCCAGGTAGGAACCAAGGTAGACCAAATAGTCACCCACAATAAGATGCTTGAAACCCAA